AATTTGGATTTTTAGCAAGAAAGGCAGTGGAGTCATTGACAGAGGGAGTATAAGTTTGTGAAGGATATGAAACAGGATATTGAAGGTTTCTTTGGGCTTCTTTTTGAAGGAAGAAAGAATACACAGTAGAGAGACTAGGAAAGGGGGTCTGAAGAAGTATTTGACTTCTCAGATTAGAGTAAGACTCGTTTAGACCAACAAGAAATTTTTGTACAGATTCCTTTTGAAGTAGTGCCTGATACTTTTCGTTGATTTTGCAAGTGCAATTACCACAAGTACAAGGAGGGAGTGTTTTGAAATCAACATATTCATCCCAAAGACCTTTGAATATATTGTAATATGCAGTAACAGTTTGAGTACCTTGAGAAATATTGCCTAAAGATTTTTCAAGGAAAAAAATCCTAGGACCATCACTCTTACCGTATCTAAGTTGTATTTCATCCCATAGTTCTTTTGCAGATGTAAAATACAGAAAAGTAGAACGGATTTCAGGTGAAATGGAGTAAATTAACCAAGACAAAAGTAAGGCATTGATACGATACCAGACAGAGTAAGCATGAGAATCAGTCAACTGTGGTTGCGGAATAGAACCATCCATGAAAGCCATCTTGTTTTTCACGCTGAAAGCCATGGTCACCGATTTCTTCCAAGCATTGAAGTTGTCACCGGTGAGTGTTTCTGAGATGATGCGTAGACCAGCGTGATCGCTTGGATGCAGATAGTACGGAGAAGAAGAATCTTCAAGAGGATTTAAAGGAAAGGCGACAGACATATTCAAAGGCGATTTAGGATTTGTGCGGAAGAATTAGGGTTTTACAAATCGATTGATTCGAGAGAAAAAAAGAGGAATCGATTATAGAAATCGAAGAGAAGATAGGATTTCAGAAAGACGATATAGAATCACTGGCTAATCTGATACCATGTTGAGGATTTCATACAGAATTCAAAGAAGAAGATGAAGAACGAACGATTGCTTTGAGAGCTATTTGCGGAAGAAGAAAGCAGGTCTTAGGGTTTTGAATTGAAAACTTATTGAATGAAATATTACATGAGGTATATATACTATAATAACTAATAGTCTAATACGAATGGGCTAAATGATAGAAGGCCCAATGACAAAATAAAAATGTAAACAGGTCCATTAAGTCCAGCAGTTTGATCCAATAAGCTTTATTCTGGATATGAATTGTTCTTAATTTTTTACTTTATATATCCAACTTTTATCAAATTAATTTTTCTTAATCAGGTATTATAAAACTTTTATCAACTTTTATCAAATAGTGTAGTTTCTGAATATGTAAATTTTATTTACTAAAAATAATCTTATTAATGATAGGGATCGGTTAACTTTATCCTCAGTCAAACATCATAAACCGCGTGAGAACCTTTAACTGGGACGGAGGGAATATCATATTAGATCACACTTATCGGCTGAAGATAATATTATTTCAAATTTATGTTAATACGACATGGTTTGCAAACTGTTATTCTAAATTCTAGGGTTTGCCCTGTGTGCACATTAAGACGAGTGTAGGTTTTCCATTACCAAAAAGGAAAGATCACAATATTATTTATATTTGTGTTTCGAAGGATATAAATGGGGAAGATAAATGTGGAGGCATATATAAACTGAAAAAAGGAAACATTTCTCTGGTTTGGTAAGTCATAGTAAAGAGTAAAAAATCCATGGATCTGGCATTTTTTGCATTTTTTCTTTAAATGAATTTTAAAGCAAATGTTGTGAGTAATACTATCTGATATACGAAAATTTGAGAAATTAATGCAGAGTGATTTTTAGCGCAAATATTTCTTTATCTGTTTAAAAACAATCTAGAGTAATCATTACACCCGAGCAAGATCCCTCACATAGAAAGTTTATTCGGTTATAAAGTGTGAAACTTTGGAACACTGATCCTAAATCTTGTATGTGATAATATGGGGATTACCGTAAAATAGAGGACACAACTTACACACAATAAGTCCATGTTTAGTCTTTGAGTTACTTTTTTGTGTCATTTGATGGAGGAAGAGGTCCCATCAAAGAGTTTTCGACTAGTGTGGCTGCTAATCGTGATGAACCCATCAACTTTTTTTTTTGGGAGGGGGGGCTTTGAAAAACATCCAATCTCAGTTCCACTTTCTTCTCCTTGCATCGTACAATGAAACCGGCCACGAGCCGACAAGAGTTGGGCATGAATTCGGAGGGAATTACCTCGTAACGTTGGAAAAATCTGCACGAAGAGTGGATGGGTCGGGAAGTGTAGCCCGACGACCACTGAATCCGCATGGACCATAGTCATGCCCGAGCGGTGTCGCATCGGGTGGGTTGCCCCACGTAAGCTGTACTCGGCAGTAGATAAATCAGGATCAGGTCCATAAAATAGTCCGAGGTAAAATGCTCACACCCCTAGGTATTACCCAAAAGAACTTCATGGCGCGACACATCACCAGGAGGCCGGCCTTGTAAACAATAATGTCATCACTAGAGAAGTCCTTATCCCCGGATTCATTCCCACCATCGAGAGAGGATTGAGCCACTTCATCTCGCGCGGCGGCGGCATCCTCATGGATTGTATCATCAACACTAGCGGTAGACGAGCTTCCGGTTCCTCCGAGGCTCGAGGGTATGTGTCGAATTCGGAGAAGCCCACATCGGAGGAGAAGGGATTTAAGGGAGATGGAATACATGCTTTCCTACCAGAGAAAGAGCTGATGGTGAAGTCTGACGTATAGATATGCAAGAGCATTCTAGAGAGAAGAAGGGCGATTTCGAAAATCCTCATCTTAAGCCTTGAGGGGATATTTATAAGAGAAACAACTGAAGGAAGGTCTAATTATTGAGCGACATGTGGCGAGGAGCATACTCATTGACACATGTCGCATGAAGGAAGAGAGTATGGTAATCATGGAAGATTTATCGGGAGTTGAACCGACCGCCGAAACCATCACTTGAAGACCTCGAGAACCGCCAGGACAGTTGTCACTCAAGAGCATCAAAATTGCGCGACTTAGGGTTGATCTCTACTTTCTCATTTCCTGCACACGCTCAGAATATCAGAAGTGGAGGACTTGTGTTGGGGTTATTGGCTCACCATAGGATAGGCCCAATACCCCCGCGGATAAGTACATGCGGAAGTTTGTTAAGCTCCCATGGTCGGGCAGTGTAGCCGGTACGGCGTGTTGCGCATGGAACGAGATCCTTGAATGAATCATCTAGGTCATCATTGGAGTGCTCACAGCCCGCTGCCTCAGAATAATTGACAAGAAAGCATGCATTTGCCGGGAAGCTCATTTAATGCATCAGATATGGAAGATTTTATGGTTGGGGGCTAACCACTCAGGGTTCGCCACATCACCACCATCACCTACCTCGTGGTAGTATAAATAGAAGCATTTATTTCATTGTTAGGGGTATTCAGCTTGCATTCAATAGCTTTAGCCCTTCTCACTACTTCTTCTGTACTCCCAGCTTAGAATATAGGCTCGACGCTAGCCTCGATAGGGTGTGGTGTAATTGTTCTAAGTTTTCAATAGAACCGGGCCCTCTTACATCTCTACTCTTTCCTGCTATTACTTGTGCTTACAAAAGAGTTAACTATCCACTAAAATATATCCAATCCATCAATATCCTACGAAAGTCTAAAGGAAGGTGTTGGGCCCTTTGACCGAGAGGAATAAACCTCAACATGATGTTACACATACTTTTCTTATCAACCTCAACATGATGTTATGCATACTTTTCTTTTTCTCTTTTCTTCCCCATACAAAACAATCAATGTTGCACTTTGTCACTACATGGTGTCCACTTTTGGTAACTTATCACACAAATAATTCATGTTTGTCAAATTAGGTCTCGAGAAAAGATGTTCATATAAAGAATAACACAGAAAGATGTCAAAAATGATTCATACCTCTCAGCAAAGTGCAAACACATATGCATGTATGTCGTGTATGTATAGTATGCATACAACTTGTTTGATATTTTTATGTGTTCAATTTTATGCACGAATATGTTTTGTTCGAAACTTAATTTGAGTTACAAAAAAATACATATTTTGGAGAGTGTAAAATTTATACTTCATGGGTATACAATAGTCATTCTTCTTAGAAACATCCATAAACTTAATTCACTTTTTGATTTTTTTTCTTAACACCATGATATTCTTATTTCGACGATCTAATCTTGAGCTTCTAAGATTCCACCCATAATAAGTAAGTGTGTCCATGTATTCTCAATACACATTGAGGGAGAATTGTCCATAAAATGACCAAGGAGTTTAAAAACCTCCTAAATTAACATGTATGAAGACTCGAATCAAACCCTCATGAGAATGAGCTTCATTGAGAGGCGTGATCTATTTGAATTACATCTTTTTGTCACTTTTTTATTTTGTTCAATTAAAAGTACTTGTAAGTAACAAGTGCATATTTTCACACTATAAATTAGGATGTGATTATAACTAAGGAAACTTACCGTTGATGGATAGATTTCAATGATCCTTTTTTTACTATTTAAATTCTCCTTTAGTATATACTTGTGTTATCTTAGGCTATTTCTTCCTTCGACAGACAACGAAAGAAACTTATATGAAAATTGCCCTAAATAGCAATACGAATGTTGGTTAATTCCAGCTTGTCTATCATATTTTCGTTATTTTTTTTTTATTTTTTTTTTACTCCAAGGGGTCTGGAGGAGGGAGGCTTGGAGTAAAAAGGGCTGAAACTCACTCCATTGAGTTTCAAACCCTTGTGTGCCTAGCGGGAATCGAACTCGAGACCTCCCACTAGGCACGGTAACCTCGCAACCAGCTGGCCTGGAACTCACTCCATTGTCATTTTTTGACTTTACTGGATTTTAAACATAACAATATTTACTAACTTGACAATAATTATTTTATATAACAACAAAAATGTTCCCTATTTACCTATTTTCCCAACTTATATATACTCTCCTCATTGCCAATGCAATCTATTATTAGTATAAACCACTTTACAGTTGTACGGGCCTTCAAACCAACTAGGTGGGAAAGTGGGGAATTTCAGATGAGTAACTGCCATTTTTTCGTTGCTAAACCAAAACGGAAGAAAACACTAACCACCATGGTTCTGGTGGTTCTCGGAAGTTACAGGGGAGTTAATCATCTTCCTCGGGGCTTTATCACTGTCTCAAACCCATGTCTTTACCGATTCGAATTCTTCAGACGTTAGTCTCATTCTTGCTGCCGTGTTTTGCCCAAATTCTGTATTCAAATCCACCGTTCTTTTCAGGTATATATAGCCAGCACTCAATTTGAAGGGCAAGAGAAAAATTAAGCATGGTAATAGCACTTTTTTGTTTTCAATTTTTTTGCAGAAGCAATCAGGAACTCGGAACACAGGCTGAAGCTTCCCCTGGTGGGAGACGATGGGCGGGTATACGTCTGCTCGGGAAGAAACTTCTTTGCGTTTGAAAGCAATGGTTCAATTGCTTGGAGTGTAGCTCTTAATCATACTTGCAGTCTTAAGATTGCTCCTGCCAATGGTGGCTCAAGAAAGGCAAGAGTCTACCTTAGTTTTTTCCGTGTGCTCCATAATCTGTTTCTCTCTTTCATTTCTTGTGATTATCTACATTTCTAGATTACGAGTGTTAGATGTGTTCATACATTTTTATACTCCATCTGTTACTAATTGTTCCTATTATTTATATCATCATTGACCAAATCCAACCGTTTAAGATAATGCATTAGAGTGATAGATTTATGAATAAGAACTTTATTTGTGATACTAATTATTTACTACATACTCCCTCCGTCCCGCAAAGAAGATCCTGTTTTCCTTTTTTAGCAGTCCCAAAAAGAAGTTCCCCTTTCCTTAAATGGGAAGTTATCTACATCAAAATAGTGCCAAACAATGCAAAAAAATGTCAAACAATGCCAAATAGTGTGAAAACAGTAAAATGTACCCCTGGTAAGTTTATTTCCTTAATATGTGTAGGTCAAACCGTGAACTTCTTTGCGGGACGGAGGGAGTATTTAATATGATTAGTATAATAAAGATGATGGAAAAGAAAATATTCAAGAGTAATTGTAGAGCATTCTAGGGAGCATTAAATGATGACCACAATCTAACATTTCATCTTATTAGGTATAGGTGATTTTCTTCTAGTGTTAAAGGCGCTTTATTTTAGAGGTGTATATGATACCTGGGCTCCATGACGGGGAGATCTAAGAAAAATTACCAGTTTGACCCTAAGTCCAAGCCTAATATTTTGTTATTTACTTAAATTGAATCTCCTTTTGGTGATCTCCAATGCCACAATGTGCATACTCTATTAGTAAGTTAAATATCTCTCTCCTTATGTGAACAATTTTATATATTTTTGATAATTTTTTCTCCACAATGTTAAAAAGTGTATAGATTTAGACATTGTGGTTGACATTGTTAATAAAAAGTTACCAAAAACATATAAAAGCGTTGAAAGAGAGAGAAATATATCATTTATTTATTTTTATGCGTTCATCTCTCGCATGTGCTCTTGATAATGCAACATATAAATGTCTCCCTAAAATGTCCACATTTAGTGTACCAATTTTTAAAATGTGCATACATTTTATAAAAATGACATGTAAAAGGAACAAGCATTTGGTCATTGATAAATTAAAACCGAGGGAGTAAATGATTGATGCTAGATGACTTTCAGTCTTAGCTCTTTGGATACATCATCCATATGAAATTAAATCTACGTCCTTGCATGAATTAATATGTAAAATCATGAACTGAAGGTATAATGATAATTTCCATACCCCTGACATTTACTCAGTACTATGGGTAAACCATAATATCCCCCTAAATAGCTTGTGTGGATATATGTGGTTAGAGAGGATAAAGTTATGTAATTGATTGTCATCCACATTGAAAGATTAAAGAGAGACAAAGAGTCATATGGTGTATAAGACATTGTGTTATGTGTGGTTGCAGATATATGTGGTTGCGGAAGATAGAGTTCTGAAAATCAACCCCTTAAGAATTGGGGGTTCGGAGTCTTCTGTACAAGTTTTCTTTGGGGCGAAACAAACAGATGCAGAAAGCTGGGGAGAGATTGTTGGCATTGCTGTGAGCATATTCAGTTCTCGGGTCCTGATCACCATCAAAAGAAGAGGATTGTTTGCTTATAAGCTGCATGGGAAACTGGCATGGAGTGCTGGCCCAGTAAAGAACCAACATGGGTTTCACCAAGGCTGCAGCAAAAACCTTGAAGACTGTTATTTCTCTTCTGCTCCTGTGATTGATCATTGTGAAGCTCGTGCCTATGTCAGTCTTTTTTATTAAAAATTACTCGTAGAAGAAATCCTCATTTAGACCCGCCTAGTTCCACATAGCCATTGGTCCCCATGGCTGCCTACTTTTTTTCCTGAGTTCATCCTTCCTATAGTGATGAGGCTACGGACCTATGGTTAAGGGGGTCATTCACCTCCATGAGATTCCGAAAACCTCCCAAGTTACTTTAGCAATTTACTAATTTTTAATATAAAAAAGAATGTAAGATAAAATAATAGACGTTTTATGAATAGAAGATAAATGTAACTCTCTTACATTTTTATCCCCTTTTAATCTTCATATTTTTGTTTGCAAAATCCCTTAATAATCTGCCTCTTTTCTTGTGAGAAAGAATGTATGATTCATTCTTTTACTTATTGAGGGAAGGAGTGTGATGTATTGTTTCCATTGTATTTACTTATTCTTTTATAAAGTTTAGATTGATTGATATTTCATCAAAATTGTAGTTTCATTTTCAGATGATATATTGTGTCCTTAGCGCCGATATCATTCCATATATTCATGTTAGCTGACCCCATACTCCTTCGGGAACAAGGCTTGGATGTTGCTTGTCTGTTGTTATATTGTGTTTGTTTTTTAATGCACATACACGGATATGTGGGTACACCATTTTTATTTAATTGGAAGTTCATTTCTGAATATTTGTCTATCCAACAACTGAAGAATTAAGGTATTGATTATAGGCAAACTCAATTATTTGTAATTATATGATAAGTTTGAACTAGTTCAATAAGATTTTGTAGTCGCTTTTCGAATAAGTCGCATGAACCTTTTTTATTTGTAATCATTTTTACAAAAAATAACTGGGGTATCATTGCATCTTAAGTTGGGCCCTTTACCTATGTTCCGTTGATCCCGCCCTACCCAATATACCGCCCCTTCTAGCTTTGTTTAGATCATTATCCTATTCAATTTCATATTGGAATGAATTCCTCTATTTGTAGGTCTTGAATAATGGAGGAGAGCTTTATGCTGTATTGCTGTTTCAATATACTGCCCTTCTAGCTTTTTTAGATCATTATCCTATTCAACTTTATATTGTAGTGATTTTCTCTATTTGTAGGTCTTGAATAATGGAGGAGAGCTTTATGCTGTTTCTACTAGTAGTCCTCATTTCCTATGGATAACGGATTTGAGCACATTTGGAAACATATCTGCAATTACTGCTGGGAATAATGGTTTGGTGTATGTTACTGTCCCAGCTAAAGCTCTAATCCTAGCCCTAGACGCTTCCAGAGGGGACATTTTGTGGCAGGGAAGTATTGGACCATTAAGTACTGCAGATTACACCCCCGTCATTGATTCTAATGGTAAAAGAAAGTTATTCATATAAAGAGGTTGTATTAATTGCCAGTTTTGGTCCTTTGCCTATTGTGTCGATAACACATTTGTACTCGTCTTTGACTTTTTCTCATTTAGTCCTTTCTAACCATTGTTACAGTGACACTTATAGTTCAAAAGTGTCATTGTCGGAATAGTGGAAGACTAAAAGTGTGACTTCCACAATTAGTCAGAGGACTATACGTGGAAATATTTAGGCAAATACCCAAAGTGTCTCTCTCACAATAGTAAGAGGCCTCATGTGGGAATATGAAATTCACCCACTTTTATTGTACAAGTGCCAAATGTGTCAATCCTAAAATAGTGAGAGGACTACAAGCTGGAAAAATAATCTTATTCGGAATATGAAATTAGCACACTTTAAAAATATAATTTACTGATGTACTTAGGTTGGGTTTCTGTCGGTTCTTTGGATGGTTTCGTGTATTCATTTTCACGGACGGGTGTGCTAAAGAAGTTCTCTACAGTGGGACACCAAGACGCTGTCATCCAAGCTAGTCCTATCCTGGACTGCTCAGGTTATGCAATCTATGTTTCACAGACACAGATGGATGGAAAGGTTAGCCAGACAATTGGGAGTTACACTTACATTTCAGCTATGAAACCGAGATCTGTTACGTTTACCATGCTGGTTCCAGCCACTGGAAATTTGCTGTTGTCTGAGAAATACCCCGGTAATAACCCATATCTGCTTTCCTACTGCAGTTGCCCAAGAGTCGTAGCTCAAGTGGGGGAAAAGGATAGGCATAAATATGCTGAGGGGATCCCATGGTGTGGGATACATTATTTTGTATGGTCTCTCTCAGGCATTAAATGTTCATGTTCTTGGTGATGTCATAGGTTTGTTCTCATCTAAGCTGGTTGATAGCGATCTCAAGCATTTCATTTGCGATGAAAAGGTCATTCTAGCTTTTTTTGCTGCTTCAAGTGAGAAATTGAACTCAGATTCTCGGTCTTTCATGCCTATTTTATATGAAGCAGTGACTAATAGAAAATCCGATTTCTTGCAGAGACTAATAACCCATTTCAATGCATTAGCACACGTAATCATCCTACTACACCCTTTTTCTTTTATTAGTCCTTTGTATCAGCCACCCTGTTGATCCTTTCTTGTTCTCTTTTCAGGTCAGAAATTTGCATACAGTTGTTCACAGATCAGACCTACGACCTCCGACATTTACACGAGTAACTTCATATGCCTTGTTGACATTTGCAAAATGTGCTTATTTTAGTTTTATTTGAATTCTTCATCTAAAGTTATGACCATATAGATATTTGAGTAGTTCAGTGTTTTATATGGTGCTTCCTATTTGTATATTAAATTGGGTTTAACTAACTGCAAAAGGATATTAATGGGATGATGAGGCTTACGACAAATTTATATACAAGTATTAGATATATATTGGGTAAACATCTAATGTGGTGCACTTAAAAGCACATGGACTACCTCGAGGCGGATAAATAGGCTAAAAAGCCACAAAGAAGATGAGCATAACCATGAATGTCAAACAAACAAACAAACAAATCCAAAAAAACAATCAAATTAGGTACTCAATGAGACTATGATGCCGTATTAAATTGGGTCTAATTCACTCTAGATATAAAAATCTGACTCTAGAGGGCAATCAAATATGACTCTGTACACCTTTTAGATAAAAATCTGTTAAACGTCTGAATCTGAATCATATATGTATTAATTTAGTGGATGTGTGGTTTATCCCTTAATGCATTCCTTTTGTATGATTCAGGTAATGAGAGGGCAATTGTCTTATTTCTGTTGTTTGAATCGGCTTTGTTACTAGTTTTGGTTGCACTAGTAAGATTCTGTTGTGTCTTCTGGAAGAAGAAGAAGCTCCAAAGTCGACAACTTGGAGGATTCCTAGAAAAGAGAGTAATGCTTTGATCAAATTCACAGTGAATTTACCCCTCAACTTCCTAGCACACTAAAGAGTTTGTTTGCTTATAATTATCTTGTAACTCGTTTCATTTTTTCTTATTCGTTAGCGCTCTCTTCAACTCCAAAAGAAAGCATATGACAGGACAATATCTGAGCTTGAGCAGAAAGCTGCAAAGGAAACGGTAAGGAATGAAATGATAGAACAGCTAGGGGATTTAATGAAGGAAAGGGAAGGCATAGAGAGGAAGCTCTCAACAACATATAGCTTTGGAAGAGATGAAACCACAAGCATGAGAGGTGAGAAAGATTAACTGATTATAATTTGACTCTTAATATCATATATTGGACTAATGGGAAAAGTAATGATTCTCCATCACTCCCATAAAGAGAACCTTATTTAAACTACGTAGCATTTGAAACCATGGTCATACGTCTCATATTAAAACTACGTAATATTTATTATTACGCTTTTTGTGTCCAAAAAGTGTGCAAACAACTAACTAGTTAAGTAAGCCAAATTTCATTGAACCAATCACATAAAGTTTAAAATATAGCTAGAATTTATGATATAAAAATCCCCTTTGTTGTACCTTACTAAAATAAAAATTCTTTACATTGACACGGCTCTATTTTTTTGGGGGTGGGGTGGCACATAATATTGAGTCAAAGTCTCACGGAAATAATAGGAGTCAGGTAAATTACGAAAGCTAAAATATAAAATAAGATACATGAATCATGTGTAGTAAAAGTGGTAGTAATATTAAAAACTATAATAAAAATGGCCATCCGGTGCACATTGGCCTCCCTGCAAGGCGAGGGTCCCGGGAAGGGGTCTGACCACAAGGGTGTATAGGGGCAAACATTCCCTTGTCATTTTGATAAGAGGCCTCTTCCAAGACTTAAATCAGTGACCTCAGAGCAACACCATAGGTCCATAACTAGTGCAGCAATGTTCCCATTCAATCTTAAAAATTACAATACATTAAAAAAATGAAATAACATTTTTCTCTAATATGGAAGGTTCAAAATCACTGCTTCTTCCTTTATCTGATCGAACAACTCGGAGTTACTCTTTTCAAGACGGGAACAAGGAGAGCATCACTCTCTTTCACACTGGCAGTGATGCTTCATCTAAAGATAGTGAGTCTGAACTTGCGGAAGCCTGGATTTGCAGTGATGATTATGATGATGAGATTTGTGAAGATGAAGAGTATGAAGCAAGTCCATCAAACCCTAGTTCGAGTTCGCATGGAGTTACGGAGGCAACATTGGGTGAAATAGGGGAAGGGATGTCACATCAAAGTGTTTTGAAGCGTAGGATGAGATCTTTGTCATCATCAAGCAGCTAAATTTATCATCATACTTGAAAATCACATTGCATTGGAGTAAATACCCTTATTCTGCTTTCTGTATTTGATTGAGATTAGAATGCTCCTTTCTTTAGCTTCCCGTTGTAACTTATATAAGCATTTTAAGGTATCTACCCTTGTATGAATATACCTCAGGTTTCCCAAAGCTCAATGGTTAAGTTATTACTTATTATACATGGTACTAGTTTTTGTAACGCGCGTTGCGTGAATGGCATGTTGCCCAATGCGGCAATGCCCCAATCTAAGATAGTTCTCTAAGATACTTGTCTTAATGTGAAGCTTTTGATGGGCTTCATGAATGGTTTGTAATGATAGTAATGACGCCACATAATTTTAGCCTTGTGTTGCATTTCTTGACCAATGATTGTATATAACTCACTAATATTTCGGATGGATCGTCGGACCAGGGGTGGTCGCAATCCACCAAAATAAAGATAAAGATGGAGAGCGAACTGATCGGAGAAGTCAGAACTTGAACTAGAGAAATCTCAGTGTGTATTATCGAAAATGCAGTAGCCTAGGAATTCAGAAGTAACCCCCTTCCACAAGCCGGAAGGCGGTATTTATACTAAGGAGAAAAGGGAAATACTTGGTAGCCAAGCAAAAGATGCTAATCTAATGGGAGAGGGACATGTGTAAAGCTATTTTAACAAACTACCAGACTAAATGAATCGGGAGCTGTCACGTGTAAAGCTGATTGGAGAGAGAGAGCCCTTGATAGCCGGCTGATTGATTATTCCTTTAACAGAATTCCTGCCAAGGATCTTGTGTAGTCGTGTGCAGATAATCCGGTATATTCCATCAATGCGGAGGATGATGTGGCGACGTTTTCGCGTGAGTCAAGTCCTTGCGGATTTTGTCTAAGTGCAGGGTGCTTTCTTCCGGCCTTGGGAAATACTGAGGTCGATGCCTGGGAGCTCGGGCTCATGTTGAGAGGACTCGTCATGCTGCCTGGAGTAGTGATGGAGTATATGGCCCGGGAACCCCCGGCCCACAGACTCCTACTACTCCGGCGAAGGCCCAACAGGCCCAGGAGGCCCAGCAGGCCCAAATCACAGCGCCCAGAGTACCAAGCAGTCCGCACAACGCGCCAGGGGTGCCTTCGGCCCCCTGGCCGAAGGCTCCAAATTCTCACAGAACGGGTTTCTCAAGCAAACTAAGAAACTGGGAGAAAACGGCGAAAACAGCAGCCCTCGGCACTGTGAGCCCTCGGCACCAGGGGTGCCATCGGGTGGAAGAGCCCTCGGCTACTGCTCTATAGCCGAAGGCATCTCACTCGACAAGATATCCGCCTCACATGCGTACAGATCACCGTACCCCGCACAGACGTCCCATCCAACAGCCGCATTAAATGCGGCCACATGCGGTTGCCAGCGCCAACCAGTTGAGGTGACCCCTCGGCCAATGAGCGCTTGACACGTGTCCCTGCCCGACATTTATTGCTACTATAAATAGCACCCCTTTTCCCCATTTGTAACCAAGTCATAACACGCTGAAAACACTCCGCATTTATAATACATTTTCTCTCTCTACTTTTACTTACTTGCTCTGACTTCTCTCTAAGTTATTCCCCGTAATAACCCTTCGGATATATACCCCCGGGTAGACTATCCATCATTTCTTCTTAGGGGCATCCCTCTGCGACTTTGTCTTCTTTTTACCGGGGGCTATCCTCAGAGGCGTCGGGTCCAACGGCCTGGAGGTGCTACGCTCACCACAGTCAGTCCGAGGGGGTGGCACAACAACAGTAACCATCATCGCCTCCTTTTGGGCTTCGTCCTCCGCCACCTGACACGCGAGGGCTAGTTCTTCATCTTCGCACTCCTGTTCGAAGCCCTCGGCATCCACCTCAGCAGCCAGGGCCTTCTGCAACTCCAAGGCCACGGCTTCGTCATCGGCAACCGAGGGCGCACTGCTGCTTGACTCGACATCGGAAGCAACCTCATCCTCAACTGAGGGCTCCCTCGATATATTCTGGGAATCACTCTCGGACGACATTCTTTGCCAAAAAATGTGACTAAAGTTTCGAAGGATTTCTACGGAACCCTAACCCTAAACTAAGGCCAGAGGGTGGAACTTGCAAAAAGTGTTGAGGAGCGAAGGGAGAACTAACCTCTGAAAGTGTTGTGACCGAGGGCTCGAGTTTCTCTCTCTAGAATTTTTGGCAGAGCTTCGCTAAGGATTTTTGAACGCGTAAGGAAGGAATGGCTCTGGCTCCGGGGTATTTATAGACCCCAGAGTCCGGGCTTGGGCCCGAAAACCGGGCCTCCGAGTGGACGCCATCATTACACGCCGCATCTTCACCCAACCCGTGATGCCGCCCACGGACAGCCAGCCATCACACGCCACGTGTGCCACCCCCCCAATGGCTATATCCTGTCGTTACATATTCCAACGACTATATTTCCAACGGCTATATTCTGGAAGCCCCCGAGTTTTCTACTTCACTCCACTTCATCAAGGATAGCCTCCGGGTACACTCACTCAGAAGTGCCCCCGGGTTGCGCCCACGCAGCACATAACAGTCGCCTTCGGAATCACTCCTTCAGATCCCTAGGGCTGCATATCAGGGCACCCCTCGGGGTTTCCCCCTCAGCACTACAAACCGGGTAGCCCCCGGGGAATGTCTGTGCCACTGACGATGGTGACAAGGAAACGATTGATACCGCGGTGCCAGCACAAGCTGCGGGGCGTGCCAGCACTATTCCTCCACCGGACGTGGTTATCGAGGATGCCACAGATGATGGTGACGACAAGGAGACAATTGAACAGCTCCGAAGCCGCCTAGGTTCAGAAGCTGCAGGCCCCAGCAGTGCCACCCCTAAGGGTGAAGATGAGCACGACAAGGAAACTATTGAACAATTCCAGGCCCGTCTGGGCTCAGATGCTGCAGGTCCCAGCGGTGCTGCTCCGGCTAGCGGCCGGACCAAACGTTCTGTGGCCAAGGGTAATGGCCCTCCCCATGACGCTGCTAGCAAGAGGAGGAGGCACAGCTTCCAATTCTCTTTAAGGGATAACCAAGGCTTTCTTTCAGAGAATGTCGGGGTGATGGACCTGCTGGCAGGGCTGAGGCTGCCTTGTGACACCGAAGTCCTGGATGAGATGGGCACTCCGTCTATTGCTGAGGAGCTTGCATCCAGTGCCCTTAAGGTAATGTAAAAGTTTTTTTTCTTTACGGATATTATTAATCTGTTCCCCCCTTTTTGTGGGTATATGTTTTCTTAACTTTCCCTTTTCTGGTGATGTAGGCCGCCGTCTTGGGTTATGAAATGGCCCTTAGGGCTGACACTGCAGAGCTCAAGGCGAGGGTTGCTGTGAGCAAGGGGGCGGATCTTCTCAAGGGCCAGTACTTGGCTGAACAGGCCCTGAAGGCTGCCCAGGTGTAAGGAATAAATGTAATTAGATTTTGATGATGCTAGGTTGATTAGTATTTGAAAGTACCCCAATAGAAATTTTGTATTAGAATTTGTCTTTGTATGTACTAGAACAGTCGACATGCCAGAAACCCTCTTGGTCTTCCTTATCAGAACTTCTACCAGAGATGCTCTCAGAGTTGCTCTCCAGAGAAGCCATCAGAGTTGGATACCAGAGTTGGCATCAGGAGCTGCTATCAGAGTTTTGATCAGAAAACCTTAGGGGCAGCCCTCTGTGACTTTGTCTTCTTTTTACCGGGGGCTATCCTCAGAGGCGTCGGGTCCAACGGCCTGGAGGTGCTAGGCTCACCACAGTCAGTCCGAGGGGGTGGCACAGCAACAGTAACCATCATCGCCTCCTTTTGGGCTTCGTCCTCCGCCACCTGACACGCGAGGGCTAGTTCTTCATCTTCGCACTCCTGTTCGAAGCCCTCGGCATCCACCTCAGCAGCCAGGGCCTTCTGCAACTCCAAGGCCACGGCTTCGTCATCGGCAACCGAGGGCGCACTGCTGCTTGACTCGACATCGGAAGCAACCTCATCCTCAACCGAGGGCTCCCTCGATATATTCTGGGAATCACTCTCGGACGACATTCTTTGCCAAAAAATGTGCCTAAAGTTTCGAAGGATTTCTACGGAACCCTAACCCTAAACTAAGGCCAGAGGGTGGAACTTGCAAAAAGTGTTGAGGAGCGAAGGGAGAACTAACCTCTGAAAGTGTTGTGACCGAGGGCTCGAGTTTCTCTCTCTAGAATTTTTGGCAGAGCTTCGCTAAGGATTTTTGAACGCGTAAGGAAGGAATGGCTCTGGCTCTGGGGTATTTATAGACCCCAGAGTCCGGGCTTGGGCCCGAAAACCGGGCCTCCGGGTGGACGCCATCATTACACGCCGCATCTTCACCCAACCCGTGATGCCGCCCACGGACAGCCAGCCATCACACGCCACGTGTGCCACCCCCCAACGGCTATATCCTGTCGTTACATATTCCAACGGCTATATTTCCAACGGCTATATTCTGGAAGCCCCCGGGTTTTCTACTTCACTCCACTTCATCAAGGATAGCCTCCGGGTACACTCACTCAGAAGTGCCCCCGGGTTGCGCCCACGCAGCACATAACAGTCGCCTTCGGGATCACTCCTTCAGATCCCTAGGGCTGCATATCAGGGCACCCCTCGGGGTTTCCCCCTCAGCACTACAAACCGGGTAGCCCCCGGGGAGTGCCTCATTGACGGATGGCCCATGGCCCTCGGGTATCTTCATCACCAACTCATCAACAAACAGTGGACCCCCCGGTAACAACTTCACTGCTGCCCTCATCTGGCAGGCCCTCGATCCCTGGATTGAGGGGCTCCCCTTCGGCGCCACCAGAACATCAACAGCAAGCCTCCGGCTAATCAACACAGGAGCCCTCAGAGGAGAGAGCCCTCGGCATTCCCGTCATTCTCCACTTTGTACCAAGGTTTGACATTTTCGATTCATCATTGGGGGAATTCGGTGCACTCTTTTTCCCTCATTATGATTTTTTCCCAAAGGGTTTTTCCTAATGAGGTTTTTAACGAGGCATCCCCCCAAAATGAAACGAAAAGCGTCAGCCTTCGGCCCACAACAGCAACGTAACTACTTTACTCCTTTTCACCACTTTACAAGTGCCTCAAGGAGTGGGGGACTGGAGGACCCCCTCGGGAAAATCATTAAATTACAAAATTCGGTGAAATTCCAACAAACAACAAAACAAGCCCTCAAGTCCCGACATGTGGGTAACTGAGGGACTGCCTTCGGCAGGGACATAAAAGCAACAACTCCTCACCAACTTCAGAGATCACGAC